GAGACAGAAGGATCGCCGGAGCCCAGCAGGTCGAGGCTGTGGTGGCTGGGAGCGGCCACTGCTCTCCAGTCTGGCTGACAGAGTGAGACTCCAACTCAAAAAAATAAAAAAAGGCCACATACTGCTGACACTGAAATATGAGAGGGAGGGTCTCACTTCTTCCTTCTGCACCCCCTTCTCCTGCAGCTGGAGGAGCAGCAGACCTTAGAGGAGGCCATCAGCGTGGCCACTGCTGCCATGCAGCAAGGGGCTGTGACCCTGGAGACAACAGTGTCGGAGAGCGGCTGCTGAGCCCAGAAGGGCTGGATCCCACGCCATGTCCAAGGAGGTGTCATGCTGCACAGGCATTCCTGCCTGCAAGGGCCCAGGCTGTGGCTGACGCATGAAGGTGGCCACATAAGTCTCTGGGGCAAGAAGGCAGCAAGAAAGTGGCTAACTGAAGGGGATGGGGACCCCACCAGGAAGAAGACCAGGCAGCTGGAATCGTGGGAGTGTACATCATCCTCGGGAGCAGAGGAGGGCAACCTAGCCACCAGGCTGTAGTGGGCACCCTCCTCTCAAAATCAGCTGGACGCTGTGCTCTTTCCTCTAGAGAATGCCGTTCCCTTCTTGGGGGAGATTAGGACAGCTGTGGGAACTGGCCCTCCACCCTGACTGGTCATGGCCCACTAGGGGAGAAGGCAGACTGCTCTTCAGCCCAGTAGGGGCAGAGCAGACCTGGTCCTGCCTCCCAGCAATAACCACCTCCCTGAAAGCTGGCCCAGACACCTGACTACTTGGCACCTGGGACTTCCTACCACAGTCAGAATGAATTCCTCAGGGGCCTGTGGCTGGAGAAGAGGTGCCCAGCCCACACCACCCTCAGCCACCCCCCAGCCTCTCTGTGGCAGAGAGGCAGGGAGCGTCCCTGTACATAGACTGCTGGGAATTGGGTTTAATTTGTTTTTGGTTTTTTTAAATTCCATTTTGATAATTTTTCCCTGCTCTGGGTGGTGGTGGCAAATGGGTGGATGAATATTTAATAAAAGTTCCAAGTTTCCACCTGGTTTCCTCCATCCTTTCAGCTCGGCCATCGTGGCTGGGCTGGTCAAGTCAGGTTCTCCACCCTGTCTCTCTGGCACAAACCCTGCTCGCCCTCAGTGACAGAGTGGTGGGACTGGCCTACCTGGGGCACACATGAAAGAAAGGCCTGGTATAAGGTGAGCATGAGGAGTTGCTGGTCATCTCCTGCCCATAGCTGAGCAGGTGGGCTTCTGGGTGGCCAGACAGGACGAGGGTGACTGCTGCTTCCAGGCTCTGGCTGATCTCAGGTCTCAGGGTGACTGAACTAAAGGAACTCTTTTTTTCCCCTACCTTATCTTGTGAAAATGTGGTCAGAGCTCCTCCAGACCCAGCTATCACCCAACTGCACAGTCAGCTGCTCCAAGAGACCAAAGCTCCGGGTTAGGGTGAGGATGGGGGCCTCCTTTGTCAAGGTCACTGAGGTTCAAGGGACAGAGCCTAATACCTCTGAGGCTGAAGTCAACTCTAACCCAGCTCTGGGGGTGCCCACCTAGGTATCTAGGACTGTGCTGTGGGATTCCAAAGTCAAGTCAGACACCACTGGAAAGTGAGTTGGTAAGACCAGATGAGTCCCAGTGGGAGAAAGGCATACAGGAGTTGGCACTTCATGGAAAAGAACTCAGGGTTTGACCCCACCTGGATAGGGGTGTGGTTGGGATTGCAGGTGCCTCTCTTCCTCTCCCCCCCGTGATGGGTGTGCCCCAAGCCCCTTGTTGATACCCAGATTTGGAACCCCTTCCACTGACCCAGGCATCCTCTCCTAAGATGCCTAAAAAGCTCCCATTTGCTCTTGTCACCAGCTCCTTGGGAACAGAGGGTCTGGAGCCTGCTTCCAGAGAAGAGGGATATCTGAGTATTGGCTTGAGCAGCATCTTCCACATCTATGACTACTGTTCCCAGTGTGGGGGTGTCCTAGTCCTCATGGGCATGGGACCTTAAGAAGTGGAAGCACCGAAGTGGAGGGCCCAGAACGCCAAGCCTGTTGCTGCCGGGACCCTTGAGGTTGGGCTCCACCACATGTGCTACCAGCAGTTCCAGTGTCTTCAGGACCACTGGGCCTAGAGTGGACAGTGCTTTGTAGAGCCAATACCAGGGGGACAGGGAGCCAGCAGGCCTAGTACCAATCTGCTTGACCTGGAGAGGTGGCCTGGCCCAGTTCCTCCTCCAGCTTTGTGATGTGCCATTGTCTTCTTTGCTTGGATGGAGCCCACCACTGTGCTCATGTTAGGTGGCGCTAAAAGATGCTCTGTCCGGAGCCTACCATGTGCTTTAACATCTGTTCTTGGACAGTCTTACAACTCAGGGGTTGGTATATTTCCTGCTTTACCAATGAGGAAACTGGTCCAGATAGTTAAGTAACTTATCCAAGGCTTCCCACCTGTGTAGAATTGGGGTTGGACCCTCAGATTGTCTGACTCCAAAGTGAGGATGGGGCTTTCTTTTCCCCTCAGCAGGCTGCCCCTGGGAGCCTTGGCAGGTTCCAGAAGGCTCTGGGGCTCAGGAAGCTTCTAGAAGGGCCTCAAGCGCAGGGAGCCAGTCCAATACAGAGCAAGGGAATGGGTCCCTGGTTCCCTGCAGGGAGTGGGGCTGCCATACTGTGAGAGCCACAGGCTGGTTCCCACCAGCACGGGAACAGGATGAGCAGACAGGTGGAGCTCTCGCTCCACCATGGCCCCTCTGCGGTCTCCGCAGTCGTTTGCATTTCCTGAAACCGGATCTTGGTGTCAGAGCCGCCCTCACCCAGGCAGGCGCCTCAGCCATGGCCCTGCGCAAGGAGCTACTCAAGTCCATCTGGTACGCCTTTACCGCGCTGGACGTGGAGAAGAGCGGCAAGGTCTCCAAGTCCCAGCTCAAGGTGAGAGGCGCCTGGGGCCCGGGGAGGACGGCAGATGTGCCACACCAGCTCTGCTGCCTGGGAGCCAGGCGTGAACTCCGTGTTGCTCTGGGTGCCCCAGGCCTGGGGTGCGGGGCCGGTCCTGGGTAACCGGGCCAGCATCGCCCGGTGCTGCCGCCACCGTCCAGAGGTCCAAGCAAAGTGCATGCAGATGTTGCCCAGAACCCGGCCCCCCAGCCACCCGGAGGGTGGGGGTGGCCTCGTGGTGTTCTGAGGGCAAGGAGCCAGGTCGCATCCAGATTCCGTGTGTTGAGCACACATGACTCCCCAGTCATGCTTGGGCACGCAGCCTCCTCCTTCCTGCTGCTTCCTTCTGACTTTCAAGAGAGACAGTTAGCTAGTGCTTGTCAGTCGCTTCCTCTGGAGCTGAGAGGGAGGCGTAAAGGGCCTACCCCAGTCTCAAACCAGGCTGGCCCAACGCACCCTGCCCCCCAGGTGGGCAGGTGGGGAGAGGGAGCTCACACCCCCTCCATCCACACACACTAGGTTGGGAAACTTACCGTGGGCCTTGAGACCTGAGGTGGGGAGGGCATGGAATCTGAGCTGAGGAAAACCCTGTCCGTGATGGTCCTAAAGTCCATGGCCAAGGAGTTTTCTTCCTTCTTCCTCTAGGCCTCAGCTAGTGCTGCCTTCAGTAACCTAGTTAGTGGGGAGGAACCAAGGTCCTGGGCCACTAAAACCAAGAGATACTGGGAAAGGAGCAAGGTAGGCTTCAGCTCTCTGGGACCTGCCTTAATGGTTCATTCATTTCATTCATTCACTCAGTATTTATTCGATTGAGCCCCACATGAGGCTCTGTGCCAGCATGAGGTTAGGTCCTGGATTCCTGGTGTCTCCCCTGCTCCACTCCCTTAAAGGAGGGGTACAGTCTCAAGGAAAACTCCATTCTTAATGACCAGGGTGGAAGGTGCCTGGAAACCTGAGAGCAACAGACGGGACGGACTAGGCACCCATCCCCTTCCAGCCCCCACCTTGCGGAACTGGGCCTGATGAACTTGGATATCCCAAACTGGCTCTGTGTTACAGTCTATCCCTTAGCCAGATTTGTGAGTATCTCCAGAAGGGAGAGCCTACTACCACCCCGTCACCTGGGGAGAACCTCCCAACAGACAGGTTCTTCCTTACATCAAACATAAGTACCTTTTATCACAGATCATGTCACCTAGTTGGGTCCTCAGTATAGAGGGAAGAAAAATTGACCACCCAAAATCCATCTCTGCCCATTCTGTGCCCCACAACCACCTCCCGCCCTCCCCCTTTAATATTTTACTGAGACAATACCATCCCTTATGGTCCTTTGCTTCCAAGGTGTCATATTCCACCTCTGCATGACATGTGTGGCCCCTGAACCCTCTCCAGGCTCTCTGTGCCTCTCACGTATGGAAGGCACAGCCTCCAGGTGGTTCCCCTTTTCCTGCTGCCTCAAACTTCTAACTGGGCAGATACCCACTTCCCCACCCCCACGGGTTGAGGATTTCTGGGAAATATTCCATGGAGAGTTTGCATATTTGAACTGTCCACTGTCTTCGTACGGCATCATGACTCAGACTAAGCCCACTGTCAGTGTCATCTCTGGTCACACAGCATCAGTGGTAGATTTCTCCCCTACTTGACAGAAAACTTGTCTGTTCTGGAAACCTGGGTAAGAGTGGGAAACGTTAGCTCAGGCAGAAATGGCAGGACTCCTGTCAAAGAGGGGAAGGTTGGGAAGGCAATTCTCCGCCAAGACCACAGTGGTAGATGTTGGGAGGGGAGGCAGTAGTGATGGTGTTGGGGGTGGGGACGAAGGCGAAGGAGTAATAGAGAAGTGGTCAGACGGCAGGGGAAGGGGCAGATGAGCGATACACAAGCAGGGTTGGCCCTCTCCTCTCACAAGACTGAGGGATGGGGAAAAGCTCTTGTGGTCACTCTGTTCTTACTAAAACTGTCTCTAGCCTTACGGTCCTCCCTTGGGACCAGGCAAGAGAACTGCACCAGCCCAACTGCCACTTTTCCCCTGATGTGTTGGTGGGGGGCTGCCACTGGCTATTCAGAGCAAACCTGCGATGAGGCCAGAGGGAGGAAGAAGAACATCAAATCCTCTGAGAAAAGCCCAGAGTCAGGACCATTTCCCCTGGAGACGAGGAGGCTGGGGGGAGAAGCCAGATGCACTTTCCTCTCATTGAATTCTTGTAGAGAGTACAGTGGCCTGAGACTAGTGAAAATAGGCCATTAGGAATTGCAGTCCTGCCCAGGATGGATTTAAGTTGAACACAGAACTTCCCAGGGGTTGAGGGCGCTGAGTTCGTACAGGGTCCACAGAACCTGCTCTGAAAAAACCTTGAGGGGCAAGTAGCCGTCCTGACAGAGGGCTTTAGAGGGGAGCCCTTGGGAACGATGTGTTTTCTGATGGCCATGCCCTGTTCTCCAGAGGAGCAGCATTGATTGTAGGCCTCATGGAGGATCAGCTGAGAACTGGCCGCCTTCCTCCCTGACTACAGGCAGCTGGGCCAGGGTAGAGGGGGGCGGATGTAGCTGGAGCAGCATGTCTCTGGTTGGATGAGGATCTTAGAAGGCAGCAGCCCTGCTACTTCCCCTTGACTGACAGGAGGTGGGGGAAGGGAGGCAGCGGGTGCAGGGGCCTCCCAGGCTTCTGGGCCCTCCAGCTGATACTCAGGGCAATTCAGGAGCCCACGGAGAGTCCATGAGCTTCAGGCTCTGCCTCCTCTAGAGAGGGAAAACAGCATTCTCCTTAGTGAAGGAAGAATTAACAGCTCCATCCAGAAACCACTGGCTAGGATCATCGGCTTCCCCCGACCCTGTGTGCTGTTCAGGCAAGAGGGTGGGAATGGGGAGCGGAGGAGGATTTAATGATGTGAGAGCACTTGACTCATAACCACATAGGCTTGGATCTATACTGCTCCCCAACTGGGTGACCTTGAGCAAGTCACTGTCCATCTCTGTGCCTCTAGTTTCTTATCTATAACCAGGAGCGTTGAATTGGAGGTTGCCAAGCCATCCTGTCAATCGATAAAAATAACTTAAAAAATAAAAACTGTACATTGACCGGGCTCGGCGCCTCGGCCTGTAGTCCTAGCACTTTGGG